TTTATCATTTGCTGTATATATCTGCTTTAGTTAGCTATTTGACAAGTGTATATAGTTCTCTTCCCAAAGTGAATATTAAGTCATTTTTATGAATTTTTTTGTCATCTTCTCAAAGGCCCCAGTGAAAGAACACTTCCAGCTATTGGCCTGGGGTCCCCACCTAATTACCATAGGCAGAGTAAGTATCCCTTGTACTTTAACAAACTCTGTGTCTCTAACTTAGGTGCATTATGTACTAAACACAAAATGAAATCTTAATTTCCAGGACCCATATTTTAAAGTGAGTAAAGTTTAAACACATATCTCTCAAATGTCAATGAAGACACTCCACGATCTTTCCATCCTCATCTCTATATTATAGTCATTCCAACTGCAGGTCCCTAATCATGATGCTAGGACCTTTTATACTGCTATGCTGTTACCTATGCTGCCACCTCCACGGAGATTGGCTTGAATTTTCATGTCTCCTTGGCAAACATGTATTCGTTTTTAAAGACCCAAGCTTCACATGCTCCCTCCCACTCTCTCTTGACAGAATAATGTATTATCTCCTGCCCTATGTCACCAGTTGGTTATTCTTACTTCTTTCTATCATCTATACCAGCTCATTTTTCTTATTAGAGTCTGTTCCTGGCAGGTAATAAACTCCTTAAGAGTAGTAATTATGCCACATATCTTCATAACCCCAGGTCTTAGGACATTGCCTGATATACAGTAGGCATGACACTTTTAATTATTCATTCATTCCATAAATATTTAAGCATGAAATTTTGATTAAGCCACAGTGATTCTGCTCAGGTACATATGAACAAGAATACTTACTCATTAAGACATTTCACAGGCAGTCAGCATTGTGTTTAATAACTAAGTCAAGAATGGGTTGACAAGTTAACATATCACTAGTCTATCTGTATCACAATTACTTGTAGTACTTTTAACAATTGCTTGTTAAAAATGCAGATTCCTGAGTCCCACCTCAGACATGCTCAATCAGAATCTCTAGGCATAAGACTCAGGCATCAATAATTGTAAAAAAGCAACTCATGTACCATATTCTTATGATAAAGTAAGCTAGAGAAAAGAAAATGTTAAGAAAATCCTAGGAAGACAAAGTACATTTACAGTACCGTATCGTATTGAACAAAATCCATGTATAAGAGGAACCACACAGTTCAAACCCATGTTATTCAAAGGTCAGTTGTAGTTAAATTGCCTGAGATCACAAAACTGGTAATCAAGATTTCAACCCATGTAGACTGACCCTGGATAAAGTTGATGCTGTCAATAATTCCACTGTTCCTTCCATTTTCTATCCCTCCCTCCCTCCCTCCATTCCTCCCTTCCTTCCTTCCTTGGTAACTCACTCTAATTCCCTGAGTTGTTCAAGGTTCCACTGTAATCTTTTTCTGCTTTAATTTCCTCCTCTGTATGATGAGGATGATAAACAGTACCTACTTAATAGGATTCATTAAGAGGATAAAATGAGTTAATATATAAAAAATACTTAAAACAATATGCATAGTAAATATTATGAAGTATTTACTATATTATTATTTTTTGAACTCCTATACTATTATTTAATAATGCTACATACTTTTGGTTCTATCTCTTTTAATTCTGCATTGTTTCTCCCCACTTCCCGTAACCTAAGTTTATATCCTTGGCTCTCTGTTCTCCATTTCGACATTCACTTCTTTGGAAATAGATAAGTCTCAAATACCACTTTGTGCAGATAATGAAGAAATCTAAAACTAGCTCTGGAGTTTCTCCTGAACTCCAACAGATCTTTGGATGGTTCCAATAGAATTTCCTACCAAGATGTCAAGCTAAATATGTCTAAAACTGAATTAGTTGTTTTCCCTTTGACATTGGCCAATGGCATAATTTTCCAGTCATTCAGACTTGAAATTTCATTCTCCCTTCCCAATGTGACCAGTTATCAGACCTTCCTAATTTCTTTTAATAATGATTCCCTTATTTAGTTTTCTACCAATTCTCCCATAGTTGAAAATACTAGCATATTTCAACACTTACATCTAACATCCTCCAACCTTCTCTCTTTTCAATCTTGGCATCTGGTACTGATCAGTCTTCTTAAAATGGGAATTTGGAACATAATCATTTATCAGTTTGAAATTCTTTGTTTCCTATTGCCCATAGATCGAATCTTAAATGGTAGAATGTAAACTCCATGAAGGGAATTTTCATGCATTTTGTTCACCAATGTAACTCAGTGCCTAGAAGACTTCCTGGCATATAGTAGGTAACACACTAAGTGTTTACTGAATGATTGAATGAACGCTTATCCTGGCATTTAGAGACTTCATACTTTGCCCTGAATCTCTCTTCCACTGCACAAACTTCTAATACAAACTAATGAATCTATTTCTTTGCCTCTGAATATAATTAAGATATCCTCATTTTGCCCATTGTTTTGAATCTCCTGTTCTCCATTTCCAAGCACATTATCTTTCTCTGCTCCACCTATGTAAATCCTCTTTACTTTTCAGCTAAGTCCCAAGGTCTCTTCTTGATCAATTTGAGCTATGTGAATCTCCACCATCCTAAAACTCTATGGCATTTAAACCTTACATTGTTTATTTTTTACTAGGCAAATGCCTCTGCTCCCACAAACAAATATACTCTATTTGAGGCTATGTGTACACTTTGGAATCTTCTGGATGATAAGAGCTCTATTAACTATAATGAGCAACTGTTCTCTTCTTATAGTCAAAGAACCCAAGATACATTTTAATAATAATTCAATTTCATATAGCATTCAAATATTCACACTCAATAGAAAAAAAATGTTTTTAATCCTTAATAATTTGATGGGAAAATGGAGAGAAAGATTAGGTGAGTTACTGCTTAATTCTTACCTATTCTTTCCACCTGTCTTTCTTTAGTTGACTAGTAATCCAAAAATAGAAAAACTGTAGTTTAAGGCTATTTAAAATAACTATCTTCCCTCAGCCCTGGATTTCTAGAAGAATTCTAGAAAGCTGTAGCTATTTGTTACAAAAATCAAGAGGTGGGAAGGATTTTACAGTGGTTAGATCTGGCAGGTAGCACCTTGGCTAAGTGATCAAAGATAACATTACTAGTAATAAGATATATCAACATTATATATACCCAATATTACGCCCTAAGAAAGAGACAACCTCACTTCAATAGTGTTTATGTCAAAAATACATAACCTGAACCTAATCATGAGAACACATCACACAAATCCAAATTGAGAGACAGACCTTCAACCAAATGACTAACCCGTGCTCTTCAAAAGGGTCTAAGTCATGAAAGACAAAAGAAGACAGGAACTTCCACAGATGGGAGGAAACTGAGGAGATCTAACAGCTGAATCTCTCTGTTAATTAAGTAAATAAACACAGTATAAGATCCTGAATTAAATAGTAGACCAGACAAAGGATATTTTAGAAAACTGGCACAATTTGAATAAGAGCTATAGATTAGTTAATGGTGTTGTATCAGGGTTAACTTCCTGGTTTTGATCATTGTATTGCTGTTATGTAAGATATCAGTATTAGAGGAAGTCAATGAAGAGTTTACAGGAACTCTCTACTATTTTTGTGACTTTTATGTGAATCTATTTCAAAACCACTTCAAAATAAAAAGGTGAAAAATTGTTGGAAAGGAAGGTGAATTGAGTTCTATATTCCTGGGGGGGAAATATCCCCCAATTTTTTTGAAATAATTCCTAAAATTCTAAAGGTTGCATCAATCATTTCTATTCATCAATATGGTTGCTTTAACTTTTATAATGTGTGTGTACTGTAGGATGCTTTTCAGCATGTGGGGGGATCATTAGCTATGGAGGGCACACAGAATAGGCCAGGAAAACTTGTTAGAGAAATGATATTCGATGGTATACAACAGTCACTGGTTAAACAGACATGCTAAGTAGTATTTTAGGTGCTGGAAATACAGCAATGAGCAAGACAACAGATCCCTGGCCTCCTGGAATTTCCAGTCTTATTAATAAAGATAAAATCAGAAGGTTAATTTTTTTTTACCCCCCAAAACTTGGAAGGTGGACTTGTCAGGCTGTGAAAGGCTGTGCGGGCATGGAGGCTTATGTCAAAAAAGAAATTTGTTACAAAAATTGGAGAAGGTATTCAGATTGGAAAGACCATGGTCTGTTAGCATGTTCTAGATGCATAAATGCAGATCATTAATCCATGTTTATAAACTAGGGAAGGGCAGAAAGCAGAAAAGTGGATTACAGGAGAGAAAAATCAGCAGCAAAGTAGTACAAGGGCAGACTGAAAGGCAAGAGCGAAGGAAGGAAAGGTAGAAATGAGAACCGTCGCAGTCCGTTTATAATATGACTTAGGTGGGCCACAAGAATCACTGCAAAAAAATGCAAGAAGGTCGAGAATGAAGGGCTCCGCTGAGTAGGATTTCAGACGGGCGTGCGTGAAGAGTACAGACAAAAAGATTGGGGATGGGAGACATGCAAGAGGAAAACATCATATTGGGGGCTGACGAAAAAGGGACGAAGGAAGGATACTAGTCACCTACGAGCTTCGGGGAAGACAAGGAGTGTGGCGTGGGAAGTAAGAGCGTGCGGGCGTTCCCCGGAGGGCTGCCGGCGCTCCCCAGGCGCGGCGGGCCCAGGGGCTTTGCGGACCCGGGCGCTGGAGCCCCGCGCGGGTTGGGGGTAGGTTGCGGGGCGGAGGGGGAGGTGTGCACTGTGTTTGGTGATGTCATTGCAAGTCAGTGAGCGGTGAAATTTAACACCGGCGGGAGTTGCTGGGCTCCTCTTCTTCCAGGGGAAGCAGCCGGCGGCAGTCAACGCTGAGCGCCTGCAGTTGCCACCGGCCCCCTGGCACCGACTAGATTTCCGAAGTGGGTGTGTGTGCTTGTCTGACAAATGTTCCGGCGCGGGTTGTTTCCAAGGACTTCCCCCCACACACCCCCTTCATCTCCTTCCCTCCCCCAGCCCTTCTCTCCTCCCAGGCCCAAAGCACTCCACTGGAGTCACAGAGTCGCCTTTGAACCGCAAGTGAACTCGAGGGCTGCACTCGCGGCGGAGTTCCAGCTGCTGCCGGCGCCCCGCCGCCTGCCAGTGAGGTCTTGCTCCTCGCCCGCCCTCCCAGGGGAGCGCTCCCCCCCGGGCTCGTCCGTTATCGAGCTAGGGAGCTAAGCCTAGCTGATTGATCTACCCTTTGGGTGCTATTTCTTTCCTCTTCCTATTTCCCTCCTCCCTTTTTGTTGTTGTTGTTGCGGTTTTGGAGCATCGTTTTCATGTGATTTTTTTTTTTCCTTTTTCATGGCCAGTACCTGCACCCTTAGCAGTTCGGAGTTGCCTTCTGTTTTCCGTTAGCGCTTCGCTGCAGGGACAAATGCATACAAATGCATTTAGGAGCCCACAGGACAAGGCGTGGAAAGGTCTCCCACACGGCAAAAACGTAAGTAGCTCACTTCCCCGGGAGGCTAGGGTTAGACCCACCCCTCTCCCCAGCCTCGGGACCGGCTGGGCGGGTTGGAGGTCTGTGCTCCCGCTCCTTGGCACTTTTTGAAGTTGGGAGCCAGAGAGCAGCCGTGGCATCCTCCTCTTGTCTCCTCAATTTGTAGAATACGGTGTTTGAAAGGAAGCCTCCTGCCAGCGGATCTCTCAAAAAGTTTATGCTAAGAGGTCCTGCGGCTGGGGAGGGAAAGCTCGCTGGCGCGCGTCCCGGTGCCTGCGGCCACGATTCCCGCGACTCCCGAGCTGAGCTCAGACGCCGGCTGGAGCTCCCGCTCCCGCCGCCCTCGCGCTCTCCCTCCCTTCTCCTTTCTTAGGGCCCTGGCTCAGGTTCTGCTTCCCGGTGGTGCTTCTTCAGGCGTCCAGCCTGGGGACAGCCCGGGCGCCGGCGGTCCTCTGGGCTCTGTGCGCGCAGCCTGGACCGCGGGGCACAGACGTGGGGCGGGGTTGCTGGGCTGGAGGAGAGGGTACCCGCAAAACCTCGAGCATCGGTACGCGGCTAGACTCAGAGGCAATCGCCTCTTGTCGTTAGGAGGCCAACACACGTGCTGCCCATCTGGGGCCGAGGCTGCGTCCTGCTTCATTGGCCTGTCACTGGGGAAGGGGCTGGACGCGGGGGCGGGGCTGCTCCTCCCGCAGAGTGCTCGCGCAGGCCCTGACTGGTACCCCACCGCCTCTTTGGGCGCTGTATTTGCTCCTGCTCACTCCCTTACGGGGAAAAGAGCCTGGAGGGGGGTGCATGCCTTGGCTGGCTGCCCTCCTCCCCCTGGAAGAGGTCAGTGGGTTATGCAAGTTTGCTTCAGGCCCCTGGGGCGGGAGGGACCAAAGCGGCTCCGGTCATTCTCTGCCCCGGATCTGCCCCTCGGGAGAGTAGGTGAGGGTCGCGGGTAGAACTGACCATGCCCGCTGAGGGCAGGCGGAGGGAGGCGGGGCGCGGAGAGAGACCGCCTTGTGGCAGTGTTTGTGTGCACATGTGCTTCCCAGCCGCGTGCAGCCGACCGTGGCTGGGGCTCGCGCGCTCTCTGCTCTGACCCCTGGGAGCCCGGGCAGCTGGGCTTCCCGGCGGAGGAGGACGCCCCTCCTCACGCGCCCGAAGCCGGACGAATTTGGGGAGGCAAGCTCGCAATCCCGTGCTTGGGGCCAGGTGCCGGCAACCGGGGAAGCCCGGGTCGCGGAAGAGCTCAGGCAATTCCGCTTAACTTCCCCAGGGCGACTCACGCGCGTCGCACCGGCTTCCCAGGCACGTTTCCCGCCACATTTGTCAATAAAAGCCCTTCAGCGTGGACCCAGTCGGAAAGTCGGGCTCCCGGCGTAGCCGATCCTGCGGGACCGCGCGCATCTTCCTGCTGATCCGGGTCGGTGGAATGGTGGCAAGAGCTTCGGGTCCCCGCGGGTCCAGAGCCACCAGGAGAGGGTGGGTGAGGCAGTGCACCTCCTGGCCGGCCCGCAACCTCTGCGTTCATCCCTCTGCCCTTCTTGCCTTGCCGGCCAGCTCCTACCTGTAGGGCTTTCCCTTGGCCGCTGAGCAAGGCCTGCGTCGGTGCCCCACAATCCGCGGGGTTGGTAGTTCTGACCGACCTCTCAGATTAAAGCAGATCTTCTGCTCCTGGCCTCTGTCTTGTCTGGTTTACACTTCCCTTCCAGACGCTCCCAGAAAAGGCCCTGCATAAATTTTGGGGCAGTTTGGGGTTTGTAAATTGGGTCCAGATGATTGGGGGTAGGGAGGCAGAGAAACCAAAGAGAATGGATTACACCAAGGAACTGAGGAAAAATGAAACTACGTGGAATGGGAAAAGAACCCTGGCTGAGAGAATTGGGGTTGATAGCAGAAACTGGGTGAAGGCACTGGTCTAGAAGGTCTCTCCGTCAGGGACCTTGCAGCCTCCTTTGACATCCAGTTTGTTCCACCACAGTTGTCAGTGGGGGTGGGCTGCAGAGAATAAGGGTAATTCAAGGTTACAACAGATTGCACCCCTTTATAGCTCCAACCATACACATGCCAAGTAGGGGAAAGAGTAGTTACTGATTGAGCTGAGAAAATTGTTTCTCAAAAAAATCCAATTTCCTTAAAGAATTAAGCGCTCTTCAATTTTAAAAAAGAAAAACCGGGAGGCCTGGTTGGCTCAGTCGGTTAAGCCTTTGCCTTTGGCTCAGGTCATGATCTCAGGGTCTTGGGATCCAGCCCCAAATTGGGCTCCCTGCTTCTCTCTCAGACTTTTCCTCTGCTCTCTCCCCTCTTGTGCTCTCTCTCTGCCAAATAAATAAATAAAATCTAAAAAAAACACAAAAAACAAAACAAAAACGCTACCAACCCTATAGGGAGGGGACTTGGCAGAAGCAGCTGATTCGCTGATGATAATGTCAGTCCACTGAATTAAACCTTAGAATGTCTAATGAAATCCTTGAGGTTTTAATTTTCCACCATCCTTTTATGGTGACGTTTTTGTAAGAACAGGAGCAGTTTTTTAAAATCACAATTCTGATTACTCACCCAAAAACATTTACAGTTTTAAAACTGGATCCTTAAAGACATTTTATTTCATAGGGCTGCTTTTGAGTGAGTTACCTAATGTGAATTTGTGGAAGTAGTATTAAAGGAAATTAAAACCAAAAGTCATTGTTAGATACAATGATTTAACAGTATCAGAAATTTCCCCAGGCAGGCTATTATTGTAATTAAAGGGTTTCTATAACCAAGGTGTGTGTGTGTGGGGGGAGTGGGGGGCAGTTTGGGATATAAACATCTATTTCCTAGTTAGCATGAAACTTCTTTAGAGTTACTTAGTTATCTTTGCTTTCAAGTAGATGTTTAAAATAAACTAATGTCTCAAGGGGAGAGATTGTACTTATGGAAAGTAGTTTTGAGTGTTGCTTAGACATTCTGCTTGGTGATCTGAAGTGGCAGGAGAAAAAAATAAATTTTATTGTGGAAATTAAAATAGCTGTGCTAGTTTCCTTGCCATGCTTTGCAACCATGAGTTATTTTAGAATTTGTAACTCTGAATGAGAAGTGAGGTAAAGACCATTTTGTTTTCATATGCATAAAAGGTTAACATTATTCTGGCATTCATTCACTCAATCATTCACTCATTTATTCAACAAATGTTTTCTGAGCCCCAACTACGTGCCCGGCATCGCTCTAAGCAGAAGGGATACAATGGTGGAACAAGACAGAAACACAACTGCTGCCCTCCGAGTGTGCCCACGTTAGTATCGGAACCAGAAAATGAACAACCAGGTATACCAAAATGAGGTAAAGGTACAGAGAGGAGGACACCTAGAAGTCCTGGGTAGGTGGGGTAGATACGGAAGGGAAATCCTGGAAAGAAAGGCTGACCAAAGGAAATGAAATCCTCACTGAGACCCAACGGGAAAACGCATGGAACTTTCCAGACAGAACAGTAAAAGGCTGGGAGGTGAGATTGCACAGTTCATTTGAGGGCTGGAAAGAAGTGAAGTTGGTTGTAGAGCACACTTTCTAGAGGAAGAGTGACTGGAGCTGGATCTGGAGACCAGAGACCAGATTCTGCAAGGTCTTTAAACCAGGTTACTTTCTTAGCTAAATAAATGGAGGTTAGGATGACCTGACTTCTTGATCTTGGGATCAGTGTGCATGTAGAAGATGCTGGAGAAGTTGTATGTTTATTGAAACTCAAGACCACCTGATAGTCTTGCTAACTGAAGATTGACTCATTCATTTAAAAAACTTTAGTTACAGGGGTGCCTGGGTGGCTCAGTCGTTAAGCGTCTGCCTTCGGCTCAGGTCATGATCTCAGGGTCCTGGGATCGAGCCCCGCATCGGGCTCCCTGCTCGGTGGGAAGCCTGCTTCTCCCTCTCCCACTCCCCCTGCTTGTGTTCCCTCTCTCACTGTGTCTCTCTCTGTCAAATAAATAAATAAAATCTTAAAAAAAAAAAAAAAAAACTTTAGTTACCACTAGTGTGTGCCAGGCTAGGCAGCAATCATGTTAACAATCTCTAGGGTATTACAAGGATGGACTAGCTGAGGTGTTTTTCTTCCCTGCTACTGACTGGACTCTAGGCATTTTGATCACTTGAAGTCCTTAAAGCATTTATCTCCCTTGTACTTCATGAATTGCCTGTTTGCTTGAAATTTAACCAAAAATTCTAGTATGCTTCACCACTGCATTAGTTATACAAGTACCCACTAAGCTGAATTGATAGTCTCAGAAATTCATTGTATATAAGTTAGTGACAACACTTCACTCCCTGAATCATCCAACTTTATACCAACTGCTGGGATGAGAACTGATCTTCAGTTATTTGGGCAACAAAGGACAGAAATGTTACTATTTCTGGATCTTTGCAGCTAGTAAAGAGCAAAATTTGTAAAGTTGTCATAACTTAAAGGAGTTCTTGGCTTGTAAATGTAGTGTAATGGTAATTGCTGAAATTATTGATATATATCACACGTATGGTTTTCAGTTGGTTTAGAAATTGGTTTAGATTAAAATCACCAACTCATTAAAAAAAAGGTTCCCTATTCACAAGATTTCACAAGTCCTTATAATTATTACTTGAATCTATGTCAGAACGAGCTTCGGTAGCCTGCAGACACAATACATGAGAGTCTCATGGGTGCCCTAAACAAAAAGATGCCTGGCATTCTCCTAAAGTAACTTAAACCCTTCAGAGAAAGAGAAAGTTGAATAGCCCTAAGAATTATTTAGGGAAGATGCCTGGGATGGATATTAGTTCCTTAAATATTCTGAGTATGGTCTTTGGATATCTATTTCCTGTCTCATCCCCTCCAGGCTTCATCTGTCACGTGTCTGGTTATGTTTTGATTGTGGCTTCTGTTATACTGAAAATGTGGCTAGCAGACCAGACACAGAAGTATTTCATATTTTGCTAGAGATCCTCAGATATTAATATCATGGGTTATATTTTCTGAACTTTTATTGACTGTTACCATATTTTTGACTTCTTTTAGATCTGGTCTGTTTTTGTGAAATGTCTGAGTACATGTACTTCTGGTAGTTTCTATCAGTGACATACACTCCAGACGTACAGAAAAGTGACCAAAAGCAGACATGATCCAAATATTTGAAAAATAGTCATATTTAATATACCAACTAGACTTTTTGTGAAAGTAAATATGTGAACAAATGAGCAAACTTAGTAGGCTATTTTAGGTTATATAATTAAAAGAATATTGGCCAGACCTTCAGGAAGACCTTTCCAGATTTGTGGTTAAACATCATGTCTGTTATATATAGTGCTTTATGGAACATCTTGCTAAATAATTTGATCTTTGTCCTTTAATGCCAGTATACTAAAAGGATCCTACCATACACATGGATTTTAGGGTTTTATATTTAGAATGCAAAATATAAAATTTATATTATCTCATCCCATGAGAGATAGTCAACCAAGACTCAACATTGAAATGAACCACCCAAAGTCACACAGTAAGTTAGATATAGAACCAGTTTTAGTCTATTGACTCCCAGTCTAGTTTTACTTTCTTATTTACCATGCTGTTTTCTCTACAACCTAATGCAGTTTTAATTTTAACTTATTCAACAACTCTGGCATGTCTTAGCTCTAAATGTGTATATGGTACATAAAGCATAAAGCACAGCTGATGCCCTTGAGAACTCTATCTACTGCTAATGTGGAAATGTGACATTTTTTCTTAAGTGAATGTATAGTAAATGTGATATCATGGGAGGGGGGCAAAAACAAAGAAATAAACAAGCCCAGCCCAACTAGACATTTTCCAGAAAGCTTGGATTCATTAGACATCCATGTCATACAATGATGGAGTTTGGCTCTTTAACTGAATATATCAATTAAGCTTGATGTCTTCTCTGTGTTCCCACTTCAGAGATGAGAAAAACAGTCACAATGAAGAAAAAAAAAAAAAGAAGCCTTTCCACTTACCCTAGCTTAGCAGATATTTTTAAACGTTCTTCTTTCTCTTCTTTCTCTCTTTGGACAGCCAAGTAAAAGTACTCTTATTTATTTTACTTTACTTTTCCCAAGTGTTAGAAGAATTAGGTCCATTGGGAAAAATTGAATTCCTCAGTCATTGGGAGATGTTACTCTTATTCCTTTCCATTTTAAAAGTGTTTATTAAACAGTTGGTTAAGCCTCTGCCTTCCGTTCAGGTCATGATCCAAGGGTCCTGGGACTGAGTCCCACATCGGGCTCCCTGCTAGCGGGGAGCCTGCTTCTCCCCCTCCCTCTGCCTGCCACTCCCCCTGCCTGTGCTCTCTCTCTCTCTCTGACAAATAAATAAATAAAATATTTTTTTAAAGGGATGCCTGGGTGGCTCAGTCAGTTAAAAATGTTTATTGTCAATTTCATGTAAGAAATAGATAAAAGGTGAAGACCTGTTGCTTGTTCAGGTATTTACTTACTAATTCATCCTAAGAGGTACAACGTATATGGGATATAATAAAGTTACAATTAAAGCATTAAGAGTACAGAGAGGAGGGAAAAATCCAGCCTTTAGAGATGATGGAAACTTCATGGAGCAGATGTTATTCAAATTAGGCTTTGATGATACTTAAGATTCTGACAGGTGGAGATGAAGAGGGCCTTTAAGATACTTACGAGGTCTCTCCAGGGAATAGAGTATAATGTGATATGGCTGTAGCTTCAGGGGAGGGAAGGTCAGGCATAATGGAATCCATATTGCTGTGGATATGGATATCCATATGTTCTTCCTTAGGTGGCTGTTAGTTTGGGACATAATTAGAAAAAGAGAAAAAATCTCAGTCATCAATCTCTACTTCTCTATTAGTCATCGGTTTTAATACGTAGGTACACTTACATAAGGTATGGCTCAATTGATTTGTCATAATCCCCTAAGATCACCTGGCTAAGGGATGATATTTGATGTGTTCAGGTTTTCCTGCCTTACACCAGGAATGGACTTGTTAACATGTCTAGAAAGAACTTTATTTTTCATTTTTCTCCCCTGAGGTCATTGGGGAAGTCTATGAGTTGGCTGAATTGCTAAATGAATACTGCTGGTTGTTGTACTCTTCATTAGTTAGCTTCCTCTGAATAGAAGAGTGCCTGTTGGGTTATTTCTAAACTCTGAGTGAGCCAGTTTACCTTGGGCAGATAAGACGTGATTCCTTTCACATTCCATTTTCTGCTAAGACAGCATAATCTGCTGCACTCTCCTTCAGTGATTGTAATCCTGAGCTATTTTTCAGTCTCACTGGTCTATATATCCTGCCAGTTATTTGCTGAAAATATAAAGTTGAAAGGAAAAGAGCCTCTTTTTACTCAAACTCTAGATCACTTTGGGATCCATCCTGGAGAACCTAGAGATATCATTTTAATCCTACACAGAGGTCCTCAACTTGTTTGCATAGTAGAATCACTGGGGAGTGTTTAAAAATCCCTATACCACAGACAAATTAAAATCAGAATCTCTGGGGGCATGGGTGGAGAGGGCAAGATGCAAGTATTAGTTTTTAAAACTCTCCAGGTGATTCCACTGTGCAGTGAGGGTAAAAACCAGATTCAAAACAGGTAGGCCTTTCATCATGTCTTGAGCATCTATTCCCGAGCAGTGGTCCTCATAGCGTAAACCCCAGATTCACAGCATCAGCATTGCCTGGGAACTTGTTATAAATGCAAATTCTCAAAACTCACCCCACACCTGGTGAATCAGAAACATTCAGGGTGGAGCCCAGCGAATCTTTAACAAACCCTCCAGGTGATTCTGCTGCACAGTAAAGTTTGAAACCACTGATCTAGAGCAGGAGAAAAGGATAAAAACAAAACAAACAAACAACAACACCCCCCCAAGGGTCAAATAATCTTAGGTTATGTCATAAAATTAGATTGATATTTAAGCAAAATAATACTTGTGTGTTTTAAGTACAATGTAACTATAAATAATAAATGTTATAAATTGTTTCATAGAGTTTGATATATGCACAATCCATATTAGAATCACCTAAAGATGTATACAAACTGAGGATTCATTCCAAATTTACAAATCATAATCTCTGAAGCAAGCCTAGAATCTACATTTTTTACAAGCATCTCAGGTGGTTCTTTTAGCAAACTAACATTTGAGAACTGTTGTTTTAAATGGATAACACCATACATAGGAATCTTTTATATGCTTCATTAAAATATATGGTTCAGCTATTCGCCCATACCAGTTGAAATTTCTGTAATTGTTCAGTTGATTAGATTATAGAATTGATGACAGTTTTAAGTATTCTATCAAAACTTATAAAAGTTGTGCTCTGTACTGAGTATGACCATAGTGTGTGCATTTTTCATTTACTAAAATATGGTTAAAGCCATTTTAATCTAAATGATAGTTCCATTATACCAAGGAGAAAAGTATAATTACATATTATTGGCTCACTTTGTAAAAGATTATCTTTGTTATATTAACATGCTCCTTATACTAGTTGAAAAGATAACATATTTATCATTGGTAATAAACAGGAAATGTACCATTTACTATTAGCACACCAGGAACTTTGTAATCACTCACAGAACTATATTTTACAGAAATGTCATTTGGGAAGTCCCTGGGGTACAATAATTAAAAAAAACAGAATTATGTGATCAACTATTGTTTTCAGCCAGCCTACCATTATTTTTTGAAATTATCTCTATGGTTTTTACTTGGGAGGTAGCTATAGCCAATTATGAAGACTCAATAAAATCTATCAAAAGTCAGCTAATCATTATGAATGAACATTTTGATAAGCAGTGATTGAGTATTGTGCTCACAGTTATTGCTAATCAGAATGTTCAATGTTGACATCTACAGGCCATTGCTATTTTCAGAACCCAAATATCATGAATCTAGTACAAGAGATATTCAAATGGTTTTGATATGATAATCAAATGGCTTTACATATAAACATTCATTTCAACAAATCACTGGTTCCACAATTTATAATCACTATGGTTAAGTGACTATAAGTTCTGTTACTTTGTATAAACATATTTGTATAAAATTGTAGGTATGATAATTTGGTATAATATGTAGTCATAATAATAATAATATCATTTATACTAGTTCATGTTTTTTGAGTGCTTCCTATGTGCCAGGTATTGTTTTGTGTGCCTTCCGTGAAATTTTTCAGTTAATCTTTGAAAAAGTTTATGAGATACATTTAACAGATGAAGAAACACTGGGGTGATAAAAAGTGTGCCCAAGTCATATAGTAAGTGGCAAAGCTGGAACTTAAACTCAGAGCCCTTGCTCTTAACCATTATGAGTATTAAAATACTGTGTTAATTAAAATGATAGCTTATTTCTTGGGGCACCTGGGTGGCTCAGTCTGTTAAGCATCTGCCTTCAGCCCAGGTCATGATCCCAGGGTCCTGTGATCAAGCTTGGAATCAGGCTCCCTGCTCAGTGGGTAGTCTGCTTCTCCCTCTGTCCTTCACCTGCTCCTCTTTTCTCTTGCTCTCTCTCAAATAAATAAATAAAATCTTTTAAAAAATGATAGCTCACTTCTTAATCTTGTACTAGAGTTCATTTTGGATTTTATATGATTTATAGGTTGTAAATATCCACTAAAATTTTCCTTTTTTTTTTTTTTTGTTTTAGGAAACTGCTTCTTCATCTTATTGTGCTATGTGTGGCAGGAGGTGCTGTTCATGCACAAGAACAAGGTAAGAAAGTTACCTTGTTACTTATTTGCTTATATAAAAATTCTGCTTCTAAACAGCAAAGGTATATGACTTTAAAATCATCAGAACCTTAAATTCAACATGAAACAACAAAAAATTCTATGCAGTACAATGAGAATGTAAGGGTGAAGAAACCAGTTTTTTGGGGAAATATGACCTTTAAGAAATTACTTAGATTTTTAAGCAAACTCTTTATAAAAGGGAAGTTTTGTATAGTGAAAAGGCTTTGCTTGTGACTTCATTTGAAGTGGGAGTTCTTGGGGGTGGCAAACTGACTGAATTACCTTTGCACTTCTTGAAATAACACATGCATATACTAAATGTTCCATCTAGATTTACATTATTCAGAAACAAAATATAATTTGCATACCAGTGGGTTTGGGATTTTATTTAATTCAAATGGAGAGGTTTAGAAAATAGTTCAATGTTTTGTTTTTGCGTGCTAGCTAGTTGCTCTGGTAGTATGGTGATAGAGTTTCAGGAATCTATGTATACTCAAATTAATTTATTAAACAACATTTTAAAAAGTATCTCCTATTTGCCACATAATATCCTAGTTGCCCGTGATGGAAATATATATAAAATAATGTATCTGGCCTCAAAGTGTAAAAACAAGTGACTTTGTCAAAGATTAAAAAATAAAAAGCCAAAGTCAAAGAGAAAAACCCAGGAACTATGCTGGATCTACAGACAGTATCATCATGGCCCCATTTTTTGTTTTTTTACTCCTCTGTCTTATATCAGGAGGGCTGCCAAATTATTTATTCTGACAAAACCAACATTTCAATTCAGTGACCAATTCCACAAGCCACTTGTCAGTTTGGTCAATCAACTAAACAACAGTAAGAAAGAGAGAAGGAAATGAAATATACATAGGTAGAGAGAGGGTGCATGAAGGAAGGGGGTGGTGCTTTACCTGATTGACCAAACTGACAAGTAGACAGATAAGTATTCTGTCAAGTAGCACGTAGATGAATTAAAAGATATCTTGGAAGGCATTTTCTGTTTTACGGAGAAATAGTTAATTTAGGTCACGTGTCACGTATAACTTCCTGAAATGCTATTCTTGACCAAGTCATTACTGTTACTTTATTTTGCTTTAATTAGCCATGAAGAAGAGAGAAACTGTATCTTTTGGTTCATTGTTATTACTTATGTTATACCTTCTGAGGATTTATTGTGTGCCAGCCCCATGCTTGTAGAATATATATTCACCACTACCTCATCACAGGGTTTTTATGATTATGCCATGATAGAATTGCTGAAACCAAGATTAAGAAGAATAAGTAACTAACCCCAAGGGTTACAGGCAAATAAATGGAAGAACCAAGATTTGAACTCAGGTATTTTGATTGCAAAGTCTATAAATTCTTTAAATTTAAGCCTCTTGGACCTCAGAGAAGATCAAAAAGAGAAGTAGAATTGTCATTATTAATTACATATATATTTTGTGGCTTGTCTTTGGCTGGCACTTTACATTTATTATTCTAATCTTCATAATGAGCCTGCAGGATAGGGATTATAGATGAAGAAACTGAGGTTCACGGAAGGGGCTTGCTCAGGCGTATACAGCTGGGACTTGAATCTAGGCCTGTCCATCTCTGACAACAACAAAAAAGCCTCTTTCCAGTATACATCTTCTGGCTTCACAATTGCCATCTGCTGTTGTCCTGAGTTTAATAATTTACAAAAGGTAGCATTATCAAGATATTGAAAACCCAGGCAAAGAAGAATATAAGGAAAACTGAATATTTTTGAATGGATTTTTAAAAAAAAAAAAATTCAGAACCAATGAAGGAAATAATGTCTTTCAGCCTTAAGATTTCATTTATAGAATACAAAATATGCTTCTTTCAGAGTGAACATCATGATTTTTAGTTTTCCTATAACCATAACATTTTATTGTGAGTTCTTAATAAAAAGAAAAATCTTTTTAAAACCTCTTTTACTTCCAAAAATTGGACACTTTTTTGAACTCAAAAAAAGAAATGAAGGGGCACCTGGGGTGCTCAGTCTGCAGCCGATTCTTGATTTTGGCTCAGGTCATGATCTCAGGTTTGTGAGATTGAGCCCCACATTTGGTTCTGTGCTCAGAGGGGAGTTTGCTTGAGACTTTCTCTCCCCTTGCCTCTGCCCCTTCCTCTGCTCACATGTGCGTGACTGTGCGCACATGAGTGCACTTTCCCTCAAATAAATAAATAAATAAATAAATAAATAAGTCTTTTTAAAAAATGAAATAAAAATAGTAGTACTCTAAACTTAGAAGTACTTTTTTCCTAAAGTAGATTTTTTATTAAATTGGCATGAAACAATAATGTAACATTTAATCAGGAGATATCACTATCAATAATTCTTAGATACTGGAAAAGAATTTAAAAACTTTGAAAAATATTTTCCAAAAGGAAAAAAAAAACAAATACACTAACCATCGGATTTTTTTTTTTTTTTTTGAGCTATTCCTTTTAGAAGCTAAAATTCTCCTGTTCTACTGTGGATTGGTAGTTCTCTTAAATTTCCTGTAGAGTTAATGTCTCTCCTCTGTGTCAGATCCAGTGTCTTGGAACTCATATTTTCATTTTCATCGTTCGTTTCCTTATTTGAGTGGAGTGTATCATCCAGTAGCATCCTGAGAATGTGTTTATTTTACCCATAAAGTTGAAGGTAATTTGAGTGGGTACAGAATTTTAGTCTGTAAATAGTTTTCTCTCCATTTTAAAGACTTTTGTCCATTTTCTCCTGGCTTGCAGTTCAGAAGTCTGATGTTATATTAATTCTTTACATGTGACCTTTTTCTTTTCCTCCTTAAATCCTTAAGATAATCTGTTTATCCTTGGTATTTTGAAATTTTACAATGATGTGCTTTGTACAGATTTTTTTGGGGGGGTTTCCTTTTTTTTAATTTTAAGTTCAATTAACAATATAGTGTAGTATTAGTTTCAGAGGTAGAGTTCAGTGATTCATCAGTTGCATACAACACCCAGTGCTCATTCCGTCACGTGCCCTCCTTCATGCCCACCACCCAGTTACCCCATCCCCCCCCACTTCCCCTCCAGCAAGCCTCAGTTTCTTTCCTATGCTTAAGAAGTCTCTTATGGTTTGTCTCCCTCTCTGGTTTCATCTTGTTTTATTCTTCCCAGTTTTTTTTTTTTTTTTTACTAACCAGAATCATGCTGTATGTGTCGTTCTTTGATGTGCTTGTTGGAGATGTTCTCAGCCTAGCACACTCCTTTTATCCATTCTATATTCCACAGAAATAGTTAGATGTTTGGGTTGCTTCATTCTGCTGTTATAATTATGCCCACTTTTGTGCACAAACTTGAGCACAGGGCCTGGAATTTGAGGGGAAGAGTGTCAGTTTGAGCCCTTAGCAATCTGAGGTGAAGGCATTTGACTTGGCATTTAGCAGGTGGCAGGCCGTGCATGCTGACTCAGGCAGGAGGGCAGCTGGACTGTGAATTTGGGACCCACAGGCTGATGGCATTGTGTGTGACAGGGATGTGGCTTGTTTTGCTTTTAATTTTTGTTTTTCTGGGAAACTTGATCTCTCCCTCTATTCTAAATGAAAGTCTTGCTGGATAGAATATTTTTGGCTGTAGATTTTTTCCTTTTAGCAGTTGGAATTTACCATGCCACTTTCTTCTGGCCTGCAGAGTTTCTGCTGAAAAACCCACTGATAGCCGTATGGGGTTTCCCTTGTATGTACCTGCTTTCCTTTCTCCTGCTGCTTTTAAAATTCTCTCTTTATCACTACTTTTGGCCCTCTTATTTACTTTGTGTTTTGGTGCAGAACTCTTTGGGTTGGTTGTGTTGGGGGCTCTCTGTGCCTCCTGGATCTGGATTTCTCTTTCCTTCCCCAGATTCAGGAAGTTTTCAGCTATTATTTCTTCAGACAAATCTTTTGCCCCCTTTTCTCGCTCTTCTCCTTCTGGGATCCCTATCATGCGACTGTTAGGCCTGACAGTATTGCTGAGTTCCCTGGGTCTATTTTCATTTTGCGTATTCTTCCCCCCTCATCTGCTTGGCTTGATTGCTTTCCATGACTCTGTCCTCCAGGTGGGTGATCTTTTCTTCTACTTCCTCTTGCTTGCTATTTATTCCAGATGGTCTATTTTTATTTCCATTTAGTGAGTCCAATAGCTCTAATTGGTTCTTTTTTATGTCTTCTAGCTCTTGGTGGAGGGTCTCATGGAGGTCCTGCAGTCCTTCCTCAATTCTAGCGAGTATCTTTACGAGTGTTACTTTAAATTCGCTATCAGACATATTACTTACCTCCGTTTTGCTTAGATCTCCTGCTCTGATTTTGTCCTGTTCTTTGATTTGGGACATATTCCTCTGTCTCCTCATTCTGTCTCTTGCTTCTCTGTTTTTCTGTGTTAGGAAAGTCAACTACGTCTCCTGCACTTGAAAGTAGTGGCTTTATGAAGAGGTCCTGTAGTGCAATGTCTGTTCTCCAGAACCTGGTGCTTCAGGGGGTGTCTTCTATGTGTGTTGCTCCAGGGGTGTCCTACCATTGTGGCTAGGATGTGTTTGCCTTCAGTCCTGTTGTCTGCGATGGCTCTCTGCCTGTTGTGGGCAGAGTCTGGTGCCTGTGGTGTTAGTGGGCTGCTCCGGGGCTGCCCTGAGCTTGAGTTGAGTCAGACCAGGCATTTGCCAGAGATGCGGTAGCACGAAACTGCAGGCACTGTCCCTGTGTCGTCCCTGGAGAAGCTTTTGTTGGTGGGTGGGGCCTGCAGTCAGACCCACTGCCTGCGCCCAGCCCACTGCTGGGGTCACAGTCACACTGGTGTGTGGTTATCTTCCCCTCTCCCTGGGGCAGGACTCACTTTGGAGTGGTGCTGATCCTTGTCTGGGCCGCCTGTACACTGCCAGGCTTGTGGCACCACTTTCACAAGATCTTGCCAAGAACGATCGGAGGGGGTGGATCTGCTTCATTGTGGCCTCTTGTCTATGCTGGGCTGTGAAGAGTCTGTTCTGCCAGTTTT